GGTTCAGATTTATTGATCAATCATATAAACTGATTAATGGTAAGAATAGTCATGGTGATAGTTAAATAACAGTATATTGCGCAATAACTAAGATGAGTTTGGAATTCAATGTTCAAATGGTCTTCCTAATTGTCAATGGAAATTTCCAATAAGCCCTGCTTCTAGGATATTTTGCTATGGTCCCACAAAATGACAGTGTTTAAACTTATGCAAACGCTTGTGTTTGTGGGACAACATCTGTGCTTGTTTGAAACGCACGTACAGTATTGCTGGCCCTGTTTTGATTTCTCAATTCTGAAAAAGTGTCTTGTAAATTATCTTTTTCTTTAATTCCTTTCCTTTGTTAATTTTTTTCCCTCTTCAACCCTCACAGTACTTGCACTGTCATATAAGATCTGGCGCCTTTTCTTGCCGCTTGTCAGAAGTTGTCTGAACGTCTTTTTTGCATTCTCGCAACTAATCTTCTTTTTAGAAACAATCTAAAAAAAAAGAAAACTTTCTATGATGACATTGATACAGGTATGAAGTTAATTTCACTGAAGGAAAATGAGGGTGCACAATTTGAAAATTTGAGATTTTCATGATTTTATTATGATAAAGTAGAACCCTCTCCTTTGGGACACCCCTATTAAGGAAACACCACTATTTAGGGTACAATTTTTGGCCATAAAATGAGTGAAAGTATATCTTTTAACACTATGGCCTACCCCTATTCAGCAGACAACCCTATTAAGGAGACACCTTCTTTGGTCCAGAGGGTGCCCCTTAACAGGAGTTCTACTATTCTTTCCTGTTTAAATGGCCAGAAGAACCAATCCATTCAGACTTCAGTCCATTGCAATATGAGAAATGACAAACCTCATCCATTGTCTCTAGAACGATAAGAAGCTGAGGTAGCAGGTGAGAAATTCTCCTCATTAATTTGCTTTGTGATACAATGGAGTAAGCAATGAGGACGCACGTCCACTCCAACAAATGGTACGTCTGAAACAAGAAAAACACATGATCACTACACGTGTAGCTTTATAGTAAATGAATAACACCCTCATTCTGAAGTTAAATTATTATCATACTTGGATCTACCACAGTGCACTGTCGTTCAGTATTCAATTCCAATTGAGTTGTTCATAATTTCAAAAAATTACTGTTATTACTAAGATTACATTCTCTGGATATTTTGTGTAAATCAATCCTCAACTTTTATAAACTTACATTTGAAAGCCATATTTACTCTAGACACGATTACGACACGACATCAACATATCATCGCGTAGTTTGTATTTTTCAACACTGCACACATCTGTATGTCGTTGTTGTGTCGCAATCGTGACTAGTGTAAATGTAGCTTAAACCTAAAAACGGATTTATGCAGCAAGATACCGCAAATTGTGAACATACTTCAGTATAGAACTCTGCAACTTGGTCTGCCATGGCAATGGCCTCTGTGTGGATCTTCATCTGCTCCTCAGTCCTACACCAACTGCAGATCCTCTTCTCAACTGCTACCAGATCACCTTTAGTAGCATTCTTGTTATCGGAGTTTTGCTTGATTGTCTTAGCATGCTGTGGCCATAAAAAAAAATGCCAAGGTAAAATGTGATTCACAAAATTTTTAATAAACTTTTGTCTAATCTTTTGTCTTGAACATTTCCAGTGGGGAAGGGGACACAACTGGTGGTGCAAGCTTTTTGGGGGTATGATTAGGTAAGAGGTTCTTGCTCACAAAAAAAAGTGATTTGAGATGATTTTTAACTACTTAAGTGTGATTTTTTTAAATTTTGAACAATTTCAGTGGGGGGAGGGGGTGAC